CTGCGATAGAAGACTTTAGCTCGCGTTTCGGGACAGTTGACAGAATTGTCAATTGCCTAATCGGTCATTGTTGCATCGTCACAAAAATTTATTATTTTCACGTCTTTTTAAGCCATTCGGTACTCGCGCTCTCCAGAGGCGCGTACGCTCACAGTCACATCCAAAGCGCGTACTGAGAGAACCAAATTGAGAAAGTACTGTCGGGTTTGTCTTAAGTTAATGTAAACAGTTGCAAAATAAAACGCATGGGTATCAGTATTGGATCCGTGAAATAAGTCTTGTGACAGCAGCCTAATAAAGCTGCGCCGTCTTTTATTAATGTTAATCAACAACAAAAGACAGAGAAAATCCCTTACTGCTCTTGACTAAATAATGTTTTGTTGAATAACTTTTAATGTTAATTTACAGTTTATTCAATTTCTGTTGCCTATTTAAAACACGTTCATAATTTAGAAAATGTACTTAATACTTGCATCATTAATTATTTATTTTATCCACCCGCGACCGACCCGCAAATAATCAGAATGCATTTTTTTATTAACCGACCCACCCGATCCGCGGATTATCCGCAGCGCCCGCGGATATAACCGCCATCCGCGCATCACAAGTACTCATGTACTGCAGATCATAATGAAATGCACTGTACTTACTCTTCACCATAGTTGCTCCTTCAATACAGTTGCAATCTTTGTATAACAAACGCACTGGTTGAAAACTAGTTGCTTTTCGTAGCGTGAACAAGCACTTCTCAGATGCTGATGCTGCAAGTGACACCAATGCCACAAGTCTCACTGTAGTAACACCTATCAGAAGAAGTGCTGCTCCAATGCACAACTATATAAATGAAGTTAAAACTTTTTTTTTTAATTATTACAAAATATATTATCAGCTGAATAAGAGGAAATGTTGGATTGAAATGTTGGACTACTTAATGGTTTTCATCTTGTGAGTGTAACATATTTTCAAAGTACTATTGATTTCTTTAGAGGTAAAACATTTGAATGTGGAAGAAACAAAGTGAATCTAAAAACACTTTAGAGAAAGTGAAACTAATAAGTGGTTTCTGTCACTAAGAGACATTTCCTCTCAGGAGACATCTTTATTATATCACAGCATATTGGCATGATCATATCATGAGGCCCTTAAACACTAACGTGATTAAAATGTGTTAGTAGTTATAATAGAATGAGTACATGTGTGTTAAGCTTGGTGTTTGAGTTCTCTGTTTCTGCCCTGACATCATGACTGTTTATAGGATCGGCATTAGCATAGATCTTTATCTTCTCTTGAGCTTCACCTTCTTTTTATTTTGATATTTATTGTGACTCTGGAGTCACATCATCACAATGTTTCTCTCTTTGCATTTTCATTTACATTTACATTTATGCATTTGGTATACACTGTAATCCAAAGCGACTTACACTGCATTCAATGCAGATACAGATAGTACACTAAGACGATAACTTTTAACATGTAATTATATATTTTTATTTTTTTATTTCTTGATGAAGCTTAATATAAAAGACATGCGGTATATATGAAGTTAAGGTTCCTTGCTGATTTCATCTCTCCATAATCAGTTAAGCAATGATCATATATTGCAGGTCATGCTTTTATCATAGTGAATATTAGCTAGATTTAGCTGTTAGCCTAGCACTAACTTCAGTCTATTCTTTCTAGTGTGAAGCTGCAGACTCTTGATCTGATGTGTGTTGGAGCTCATTGTTTGGTACTTCTGCTATTAGCATTACTGATATTGAGATATCGGAAGTACAACAGCGCAATACTAGCTGCTATGTGTTTTAAACCGCAGAAAGCTTCAAAAGCTGCACACGTGCACCAACAACATAGAAACAAATTTATTACCTCAATGATTTAATAAAGAAGATTAATTACAAAGGCACTTTTTGAAGAAACAATCTTTAGCTTACAAAAAAAAGGCAATACAAGTACACATTTATAAGTTTACCTGCTTCCTATTAGCGATCATATTACAGATTTTATTTTTCACAAATCCATTTAAAAGTAGAACTACAAGGATAGTAGTTCCACCCTGGATTGCCTTGACGCTTTGAATTCACAGCACAGTCCTTCTTTGTATGTTCATTGGGCTCTCCATATCCCCAGAAGCTGAAATTACAAACCATCATTAGATGTTCTGTGCTGCTTTCTATGTAATATGATGAAGATTGTGAGAAACATTTATTATATAATTATAGGTTAAATTCAATGATTTCTCACCTAGGGGTCAGTGTGCTGCCATCAACCCATTTCCATGTTCCCTCCATATTAGTTAGACCAATCCAGACTTCACCGTAAATTTTTAAAAAATCCTAATTATAGAATTTAATTAAAATAATGTTTTAATATCTTAACTAACATACATTTAATATGAGTAAGTGAATCATTTTGAGTCAGTGTTTTACTCACTTGTTCTTCGTTACTGTTTATAATAGTTAGATTTGCTCCTCTCTTCAAACAATCTTGATTGCTGTCATTCCAGTTTTTCTCTTCAGAGGAATTGTAGTATAAACTGGATTGATAGCACGTCCATCCATCTGGTAACACAACCATATTAGTTGCAAGCCTCTTGTTCTCATTTACCTCTCATTTACCCTGAATTGGAACTTACTAATAACAGCTTGTACTACACACATACGATATCTATTTAATAATGAATATTTGTGTAGTTTTAGTGTATAGTTCAAGATTACCCATTTCACGGAGATGTTTTGACAGTAGTTTTTCCTCCTCACTTAACTGGTGATTTTGTTTGGTCATTTCGTTATGGGCATTCACTAATTCATCCTTCATTTTTAACAAGTTTTCAATCTCAGAAAGTAGCTTGATCCTTGTTTTATTGAAGGTTTCCTCACTGTTTTCATACTGGTGAGTCTTAGTTCTGTGTTCAGTAAGCAGCAAAATAATGGCCTCAAGCAGAAGAACACACTGCAGCACCAAATACACTGTAGCTTTTATGTATCTTCTGGTTTTCACAGAATCACTTCCTGAAAATGACGGAAATGAAGATAAATGTTAATTACTCACAGGACTAAAATGTGTATTAGTTATTTTTATAATCAAATGAGTCTTAGTACCTGTGCTGGTCCTCTTGCACATTTCTGGTCTTTTAGAGTCAAATCGTGTAAGTTGCTGGTGTGTGGACTGCACTGTTTTATGCTAATACTTTAAGAGGCTGAACATTAACTACACCACTGTGACCACACTGAGCAGTCATATCCTGTTTGCTTATATAAAAACATTTTTGTAGATAAATGATAAAGATCTCCCCCCACGCACAAACACACATTTTGAGTACACTGCTAGAAAAACTAGACATGTTGTTTAGCCTTTGGTTGAATTTGCATTTTTTTACTTTTATAAATGATTGAAATTCATTATTTTCTTTTTTTAAAGGGAATAGTTTTGTCATTAATTACTTACCCTCATGTTGCATGTTGTTACAAACATGTAAGACCTTTGTTTATCTTCGAAACACAAATTAAGATATCTTTGATGACATCCGAGAGCTTTCTAACCCTGCATAGACAGCCACATAACTACCATGTTCAAAATTAAGGTTAAGCTACTGATGTCACATGGACTATTTTAACGATGACCTTACTACATTTCTGGGCCTTGAACGTGTCAATTGCATTGCTATCTATGCAGGGTCAGAAAGCTCTTGGATTCTTAATTTGTGTTACGAAGATAAATGAACATCTTGCGGGTTTGGAACGACATGAGGGTGAGTAATTATTGACATAATTTTCTTTTTGGATGAACTATCCCTTTAAATGTGAAGCGTGTAGTTTCTGCGTCACAATCGTTACCAGGCAGAATTGAAGGGAAAAATAAATAGCCACACCCCAAACATATCCGTTGAGTTAGTGTTAATATTGAAACTTTTTTTAGCTTTAAGTGTGACTTTGCTAGATGTTGTATAAGTAACAAAATATAATAGAATCACAAATGAGCTTACTCAGAGTTTCAGTGATAAAGATGATTTTACATGAGAACTTGTAAGAAGAATAAGTGAAATGAGACCAAACATGTTGTAACAACCCTTTATTAACCGTTCAATGTAATTAGTTCTTCAAATTGTTCTTCTCACAGATCCATTTAATAGGTTTATCACATGAATAATCAGCAAACCCTGATGACAGATTTACAGCACAATCCTCATTACCAGAGCTAGGTTTTCCAGAAGCCCAGAACCTGCAACAACAGACCAGCATTAGGTGTCTGACTGTGAGATAAAGTCAGGACTAACTTTGAGTTTAAAAGTTTAAAAGCATTTGAAAAGTTTGACTGTTTTAATGGCCATACAGGCACACAATATACAGAATGACTGTAGGCAGTGGCTCAAAGTTGTTGTAGAGCATTGCTAGGCTGTTGCAATGGTGTTTTGGGTACTAAGGCATGCTATGTGGTGGCTCAGGCATTTCTATGATGTTTGTTGTTGGTTGTAATCATAGTCTTGGTTGTACAGACAAAAGGGGCCAGTGCGTAGCTAGGTCAGTGGGTAGTTGAATGGATGGTTGGTTGAATGGATGGATAGATGAATAGGCAGATGGTAGACTTTGTCAGAACAGGCTGTAGTTCTGTGCGGAGTTTGGTGGATGTAACTTAAAAGTGTTCGAAGGCGTTTCATTTGATCAATTTGGTTCTAGAAGTAGAATAATAGTCTGAAATATTTTAAGTTGAATTCAAAATTTTAAATCAGTGATTTCTTACCCAGTGGTCCGTATGCTGCTATCAACCCATTTCCATGTGCCCTCCACCTCAGTCAGACCGATCCAGACTTCAGAACCACCAGAAACTTTTTTCACAAAGTCCTAATAATATAATATAATATATGTTTGAATAAACAAAAACACTTGTGAATATAATTACCCAAACCTTACCCCGCTAATTGTTTTAGTATTTGTTTTATATGTGAATCGATTTTCTGTATGAAGATATCTCAGAATAAAGGAATAAATTATAGTTTAGTACACAAACACACACTTTCTTTCACTCACTAGTTCCTCTCTGTTGTTTATGATGATCAGATCTGCTCCTCTCTCTGTACAGTCTCTTCTGCTCTCAGTCCAGTTCTTATTCTCTGAGGAAACATAGTAGAGACTGGATTGATAGCACTTCCATCCATCTGTAAACACAAGCAGTTACAATAATTAACTCTGTATTCCCATCCACACTGATTAACACAACCTATTTATAGCAGGTTATACCCAACACATATCGACTGTGTCCTTTTATAATTGAATATTTGTGTAGTTTTAATATAGTTCCTTATTACCCATTTTGCTTATCTGCTGCCACAATTCTTCCATTTTCTTCTGTAAGTCTTGCTTTTCTGCAGTTAGGATTATTTTCTCAGATGATATTTTTTTTATATTATTTTTCAAGTTAGATTTGTTGGTTTTTAACTCCTGTATCTCGTCGGTGAGGTTTTTGTTCTTGATGTAAAACTCCTCAATCATATTATGGAGATTGACACCCAGCACTATGACAGCAGTCAGCAGAAGAACACACAGCAGCACCAAACACACTGGAGCTGCTCTGGAGCTTCTGCTCTTCACACAGTCACTTCCTGTAGATCACAAATATGATAAATATTTAGATAAATATGTCTTAAACACATACATGGCTCTAATGTACTTGTTAGTTTGTGATACTATAATGAAATTATTCTCAGTACCTGTGTGTCGAGGTGTTTGGTGTCTCTTGGTGTCTGAGTTCTCTGTTTCTGTCCTGACATTATGACGGTTTCTAGCATCTCTGCTTGCATCAGTGATCATCTCCCTTACATCTCTTCTTTCCATATCTCAATGCTTTCTCAGGTCTTTTGGAGCCAAGTTGCTGGACTGTACTGCTGTGTACTAATACTTTAAGAGGCTGAATGTTAACTATACTGCTGTGACCGCGCTGAGCAGTCATTTCCTGTCTGCTTACATATAAAAAAAAAACTTAGAAATGATACAGATCTATATTTCTCCCCATGTAAGCAGTTTGCTTGTAGACTACTAGAAAATAAACATGTGTAGCTAAACCTTTAATGTAAATATCATTAAAATGTATTACCATTTTTATAAACTATTAAAATTAATGATTAAGATAAAAATTATTTTCCTCTTTCCTGCATCACCAAACAGACCTGGAAAAAAACTGTTAAACCAGCCATTGGTTAAGATTATTATATATTTTTTTTCATTGATTAGGTCCCATTTATGTTGTGTTAACTGTGATAAAATTGAAAGATGAGAAAGATGGTCTTGAGCCTGAGCAACTTGACCGAAACTTCTTCTATGGGTTCAAAGGGGGCATTGCATAAGCCCTCCAGAACCACAGCCAGGTCCCATGAGGGCACCTTGGTGCACTGTACCGGCCTTAGCCTCAGGGTGCCACGGAGGAAACGAGTGACAAGTGGGTGTCTTCCCAATGATTGACCACCCAGAAGGGCGTGGTAAGCAGCTAAGGCAACAGTCTGCGCTGTGCCTCGGCAACAGCGGGACCGCTGCCAGCGGGATTGCGAGCCTGGCCGCTCTCATCAAACACAGCCAGGAGAGAGTGGTGCGTGCGCAGCGAGAGTAACTCGCAGTGATGACAATCAGCTGCTCGAAAGCTGACCGTGCATGCTCCGCTCCTAAACAAACGACACACAAATCGTGTGTATCCCCCGCCGCCAGATATATAATTAATATTTTTCTCTTTCTCTGCTTTCCCCAATGAATTAGTTGGTTCACAAAACTGGAAAAATGACACAAGAGTCATCCCTGCATTACCATAGAGGGTGCATGTTAGCACCTTAGTAGTGTATATTAGTACCTTCTGAAAGGGTATCACCCCAGTCACAGCTCTTGTACCATTTTTTTTTCTCTGTCCCTCTGAGCCACTTCCTCATAAAGCCCGGGATACACTGCACGATTTAGCAATCCTATAAGATCATTACTTTATCACTCTGTGCAACATCGTTTAAACTTGGGTATGACAAGCATTTAGACTGTACGATGATGACACCTATTGAATCGTAGGCTGCGACACACGTTAGCGCTACATCATCAGCATGCGCTAGTGGTAAACAAATACCGGTACATCAAGATGGATCGTGCTTTGGCAGTTGTGCTTTTCATGTGCGCTGAAACAAAGAAGTGGTGCTGGCGGAAGAGGGCAATATGGACCCGCTCATGGCTCGGGAAAAGAGGACAACTTGGGATGCCAGTTTTGCACAGGGAGCTTGGCAGCTGCAGTTCCTCCGCTATCTCCTTCCTTGCTATGTCCTTTTTGGTGCGGTCATGATAGCAGCTAGAGGACACATCGTACAAACATGCCCTCTGCTGCCAAAACTCAACAAGAATGTGTTCTTTATGGGTATCCCACATAACAGTATACCTTCTACTTTTTTTTGCCCCCATGGCATTGAAATTTTAGAGCCGCTGGTCGGTGGATCAATATGTCATTTCATGTTGCAATTTCATTGGCTGCTGAGTAGACGCAGGTCGTTGCAGCAAACACACTGTGCGTTGATCATGCTGAATTTCTGACACTGTCAGAAAACTATCGTAGGCTATCTTTTGTTTCAAGACCGGGAAAACGCCCATCTTTGAACCTCTCTCACTGTACGACATAGGACCACCGATTAAGAGCCACGATCACAGAAATCGCCACGATTGCTTCACGTTGGCAATCTTTCGTCTGGGACAGCCAAAAATTGTGCAGTGTATCCCGGGCTTAAGACATGCATGTTAAGACAATACGTATAAGTATTTCACCATTCTTATACACCATTGGACTTTAGACTGATATTTAATCATGTCAAACTTCTCAGGTTCGTTTTGCTGTTTAGAAGATAAAATCCTCTACAGGTGTTTTTGATTCTTAAGAAACACTGACTGGAGTTGCGGGACTGACATTGACTTTAATTATGAAAACAACGTGCAAAGCAACATAAATGTATAATGATAAATGTTATGTAATGCAATGTATAATGATAAATGTAAAAAAAAATAAAATAAATAGAGGTCCAGAGTTTAGGAGAAAACCCTTTATTCATGTTAAATTATTCTGAATAAACATGTATTTCATGGCATCTGACACTTTACAAGGCTCTTCTCACAGATCCATTTAAAAGCATCACTACATGGATAATCAGCTCATCCTGATGAATCATTTAGAGCACAGTCCTCTCTTATACATCCATTGGGCTCTCGAGGATCCCAGAACCTGTAACTACAGATCAGCAGTGCTGCTTTCTGTGTGATATGATGCTGATTGTTAGAATAATTTATTACGCAATAATCAGTTAAATTCAGTGATTTCTTACCTAGAGGCTGGTGTACTGCCATTAACCCATTTCCATATGCCCTCCACATCACTGTCAGTCAGACCAATCCAGACTTTATCACCAGCAGATATGTTCTTAACAAAATCCTGATGAAACCATTTAAAATGTACCAATTGACAAATGTCAAATGATTGCTTCTCATCAGTGTTGGACAATAATGCGTTACTTAGTAACGCGTTATAATTTCCAAAATAGTAATTAGATTAGTTCCAAGCCAAGGTCTCTGTGCGTTACCGCTGTGTTACATCATTGCAGACAGAATCAACTGCAACTCCACATCCAATTTGTGCGGTCTTCGGTCATTTTCTGACCGGAGAATTTTACATTTTGAATTTTTAAAAATTGTAGCTTCCCCAGAATGGTACGAAACTTGGTGACTTTTATGGCACTTAGTATGTGAACACAAAAAAACAATTGAGGGCATGATTCGAAAAAGCTAAGCGGTCGTAAAAAAAATAGTCGCACTCATGGTCTTCGGTCAAAAATGACCTACCATAGCAAATGTATGGGAAATGCGAAAAAATACAGAACATTTTTATGTGTACAATCTACAAATCCCCCACAATGCAAAAAAAATTGCACAGCAATGAAGGGGTGAAACGCTAAAACATCTAGAGTGCTAAATCAACACACCAACACGCGCGGACTCACACCTATGAACTGGTGTGACTGTACCACTGCAACTATGTAAAATAAAATCAATAATTTGACTACAATGCAGTAAAAAATTGGACAGCAAGGAAGGGGTTTCACTCTAAAACATCAAGAGTGTAAAACGGATACATCCACTCACACACACTTACTTACACTCCCAGACACACACATACAGAATTATACATACTCAAATGAATTGGTATGGCTATAACCATATAGCCAAAATGAGTCAGAAGACTGAAATAAGAGGTTAAAAGCAGATCAGCCCCTGAAGGATTAAGCTCTGATAAAGCATTCCTGTTAATTGTTTGTTACATTTTTACATGAATGTTTGAATGTAGAAATAATAATGCAAAAACCCACACTTCAAATCAACATTTAAAACAACAAAAAATATAAACCTTCACAAAAAGTAGTCTTTGAGAATGCCTTAATATACATTTAAATCCACAACCTAATAAAAGTAAACAATTATGTATAAACACAACTAGGGAATTCACAAGCCTCTCTATAGAGTCCTATACAGGAATCTAGTGGTTACACTATGAAATTACAGGTTTTTCTTTTTTTGCTCTCACCAGGAGGTGCTATTCTGCCTTCAAAGTTTAGATTTTAAAGGCCTAGTCTCTATTTTAATCTGAAATACTGCATTAATTGAAAAAATATTTTAAAAAAATTAGAAAAGAAAATGTGTGTACTATTTTAAATGGGAAAATTTATCATAATTATTGCATAAATATTAATTAGTACAAGACAAAAGAACAGAATGAGCAAACCAAATGCACAGCCTTACAGGACAAGATGAGACAAAGAACACAGAAAACACTAAGGCATATATTGTATAAGCAGACACAAATGAGCAAACAAGGAACACACCTGGGAACAATGACAGCAAATGTACAGAAAAAACTAAAAAGTACACCAGACAGGAAGCAACATAAAAGTCCACATACAAAACAGGGAAGATATGGCATGTATTAAATAATGTTTTATTAAGTGTGACATCATCCTTGATATTTTAGTCACTGTCACTATAGTCACTGTCATTATTTACAACTATTGTGAGAATATTAAAGAGGTCTATCTTTAGTTATTTGTTCATACAGACAGTATTTGATTTGCTCCTTGAGCTGTTGTAAGAACAGGACAATTCAGAGTCACACCTGTAAGGAAATACGATTGCCAACCCTAAAAACAGACATTCATGCATACTAACTAACTAAATAAATACAGTACAACGTAAAGGGCTGGGGTCTGATTTATGACATCCTGTTGTCTTGGGCCTCTGTGGAATTTTTGTGACTCCTCGTGCCTCAACTCGGTTTTGACCAAATCTTAGATTGTCTGATTCGGTCTGATATCCTACACATGTGTACTTAAAACTTGATTTATTTTTGACACAAAAGCTTATTTGCCTCAAATGTAATTTGATTAAACAGAAGCTAAACTAGACAGTTCTGTTGTGTGCGACATATACAAGACTATATGAGTTACTTATTTCACATATTGGTGGTCAACTTAATATGTAATTCATTAATAAAGATTTGTTTTCTCACAGATTCGTCTAAAATCATTATTACATGGATAATCACACCACCCTGATGAAAAAGACACAACACAGTTCTCTCCACTATTTCCAGTGGGCTCTCCAGACACCCAGAACATGAAAGTTCAGATCAGCATTAGATGTTCATTGCTGCTTTCTGTGTGTTATAATACTGACTGTGAGAATAATTTATTACATGATAATCAGTTCAGTGATTTCTCACCCAGAGGTCAGTGTGCTGCCAGCAACCCATTTCCATGTGCCCTCTACATCAATGTCAGTCACACCTGTCATGATCTCCAGCTGGAGTGCCCATGAGCTCCTCTAGAGGGCACTCCATTCTGTACCTTGCCATTCACTCAGGACTTCATTTCCCATAATTATTTGCCCGGACTCATCAAGTGCATCACCTGTCTCTCATCAGATCTCATCATCAGTTCACAGCTGTCTCACATTAGTAGGACTATAAAAATAGCACACACACTCTCTGTCATCGCTGGTGAATGAATGTTGTATAGCTCTTCCGTGGTTTCTAAGTTACCGTGTTTCTAGTTTCTCTGTTTCCTTGCCTTCGTGTTTTGATCCCTGGACTGTTTTCTTGTTTATGATTGTTTTGTTGCCTGCCCTGACCATTGCCTGATTATCTGGATTACTCGTTTGCCTTGCCACTGCCATTGTTGTTTGCTGTTGTTGACCACACCTGTTTGACTACGCTCTTATTAAAGCCTTGCATTTGGATCCCCACTTTGTCGTCACGCCTCCCTCATTACAACACCAATCCAGAATTCATTACCATGGGAAAACTTTTTTGAAAACTCCTAGTAAAGAAAAAAAACAGACATGCAGCTTCCAAATAGACATCCACATACCATATAAGAAAATATATAGGCCTTCTCTTTTCCTTTGCTCTCTTTTTCACTCACTTATTTCTCTCTGTTGTTTATGATGATCAGATCCACTCTTCTCTCCATACAGTATCTTCTGCTCTCTGACCAGCTCCTCTTTAGTGAGGAAATAAAGTAAAAGCTGAAGTTAGAGTATAACCATCCATCTGTAAACACAAGAAGTAAAATCAAAATTGAATTCCCACCTACAGTACACTGAATAATGAATCTTGTTTTTAGTAATAGCAAATTGTTTAGTTGCAGTTCAAGATCACCTGTTTCATTGGGAATATTCTGCAGTTGATTTCTCTCTTAACTGAACTGGTCTTTTTGTTTAGTCAAGTTGTCATTCTTGATTAATAATCCATCCCTTTCATTTGTCATGTGTATGTACTTGGTTAGTATCTGGTCTCTCTCTTCTGTGAGGTTGGTGATCTTGGTTAGTAGCTCATCTCTGTCTTCTGTGTAGTCTGTGCTCTTTGTATGGATGTGGACACACAGCACTTTGACTGCAGTCAGCAGAAGAACACACAGCAGAACCAAACACACTACAGCTGCTCTGTAGTTTCTAATCTTCACTGAATCGCTTCCTGAAGATGGCAGACAATGAGATAAAGATTTAATATTAGAAAATAAGTTATTTTTAATGAATAAAATATTAATGTCACTTCTTATTATAATGAAATGAGTCTCAGTACCTGTATGTTCAGGTGTTTGGTTCTCTGTTCCTGTCCTGACATCGTGACTCTTCATAGTATCTGCTTTTGTGTCGGTGTTCATCTCTTCTCCGTCTCTGCTGTCCATTTTCCATATTTCATCAGTGTTTATATTGCCATAAATACTCTCTGACATTTTCAGTCATTGTGTTCATCCTTGTAACTATATACGTTGTTTCTACTCTGCAGTTGTCTGCTTTTTGAGACTGTCCTTTCAGCAGATGAGTCCAAAGTATGTAAAAGTACATGAAAATGTGTGAAATCTAGTCTGTTCATACCAGGTCATTTGCATAGCAACCATAAGTAAAAAAAAATAATAGTCTTGATAAAGTGTAAAGTGGAAATCACATGATTTGGCATCGCTTTATTGTTCTGGTCCTAGAAGTTTGGAGCAGAAGAAACAGCTGCCAAATTTAAATTAGCAAAGCCTGTGATCTTGCTGAATTTAGTGAATTTAAGATTGCTCAGAAACGTATCTCAGTTGCAGCTAATCTGAGGTACTGCGTCAGTAATTGCTTTTGACCGACTTCCTAACATATATCAATGTGTAAATGTGATTCTGCAGTGGTTAAAGTGAATGTATTCAAAGCAAAATCACTGCTGACTAGCTGCTTGCAGGTTTGAAACTCTTGACATAAAAAACTCATTTACGGTGACCAGGGGCATTGGACAGGGAGTAATGGTGAAACAGATTCAGGGGGGCCTGAAGCAATAACCTGTACAAGGGGCCCAGAATCCCCAGCGAAGCCTCTGATGGTGAGGCACTTGCAGTTGCAAAGGTGAATGGGTCCAATGATTTGAGGATCTAAAAGTATAAATTTGAAGCTACTTCTAATGGTGATTTTGTGTCAGGCTTGACATCTCCACTTTCCAACTTTTAAATCTCGAAATCATCTTCTGTTCCACAGAAGCTGTTGGTTGTATACTAACAGCATATGCCGGTAAAGTTGAGATTGAAAGCACTGTGGTTTCTCTGTCCCTCAGAGCCACTTCCATATTTAGGTCATGTAGAAGACAAGAATTTTAAAATCATTTCACAAAACCCAGCAGCATTCTCAAACATTTACTGAAGGTTCTTCTTGAGACAGTCATGGCTAACTAATGCTGGATTTATCTCTATGTAGGTCTTTCTGATTTGAATTGTTTTCATCAGTACTACACTTCAGGAACAGAGTACCTGACAACATTTGCAGTTCAGGATGGACTGCAGGGTCTAGAACCATTGTGTCTTCACACTCTCCACAGAAATTGTACAAAAGCTGGTACCCTTTCAAAAGATACACTTTTGCACCTTATTTACCCATAAAGAATGCATATAAGTGCCTTAAGTGTTGCATATAATTAACTGAATTGTACATATTAGTATATATAATGCTATATATTAGTATCTTTCAAAAGGGTACTGGCCCAGTGACAGTTTTTTGCACGAGTCCCGGACAGAAGTGACAGAAGAGACACTGTTTATGACAGCATGCACTCCTCATTTGGACTCATTTATTAAATAATGTTTTATTAATTGTAATAACACATCATAGTTTACTGCCATTATTTACAACCAGGGTTTGAAATGAACTTTTTCACTCACCAGCCAATTTGGCTACTAATTTTTTAAGTTACCGGCCATTCATAATTTCTACTAGCCAAAAAAATTTAACAAATAAATAATGAAAAAAAGGCTGGAGGTAAGCCAACAGCTTGAGGCTGTCCACACTGGATGCGACAAAGTGACCATTGCAAATCATTTGTACTTTGTCAAACAGTAGGCCTACGTCATAAATAGAACGAGGCATCAGTTTACTGTCAGGGATTTGTCGTGCTGTGCTGCGCCACATCCAGTGTAGGCCGCATCACCGATTATAATGGGTTCTATAGTATTTTGTCGCATCTGGTGTAGACACGGTGCGAGTCTTCAGGCATTTTTTTATTTTTCGTTATTGCTTCAATGCAAAGGAAACCAGTGCGCCCGCCACGCCATTATTTGTTGCGTAGTGACGGGTACAGGGCTGGACTGGGGTTAACATTCAACCCTAGACAAATCCAGCTTATCCAGCCCTCAAGTTCCCCTGTGAATGTTTTGCTGTGTTATAGGGCCTTCAATTG